CAGGAAATTATCATAGATACAAGAAAAAGCAAGCTTCCGCCATTGAGGAATCCTGAAATCCTTGTAGGCGAGAACGATCTAACAACTTTGAGTTARCTGAACGAGCCTGCAGGTTGGTTGGCAGTGGAATTCACATTTCACCTTGTGTGATGTGATTGAATCTTTTTGAAGTATTTACGATCTTTGAAAAATTGATTCYCTTCAATTYGAATCAGCATAAACACTTTGASGGTTTTTGTCATGACTTGATTTAATCCTTGCTTTTCTTTGGAATTATTGAATCTGGATTTCTTGACACGATTTCAATTGAATCACCCCATCGCTAGATAAACAACAATCAGATTCGAATAATTTCTAAAAGCTTTTGTTTCTTTTCAGTCCTCTATAACCTTTCTGTTCGGTTTATGCAGTCCAATCTTATTTATACATATTGTGGTGAGTATTATGATTTTCTATATTTTGCATTCCGTGGTAAAGAGGTTCTTCTAATCAAAAAGAGTGTGATCAAACGTTCCATTGGGCACTCATGCTTGTCAAGTGTATATACATTTAAATTCACTACGGAGTATAATTCTTTATTTTGTAAACAGTTCAAAAAAATCCTACAGACTTCTCAGAGGCTAAAGTAACAATTAATAAAAAAAGACCGAAAAATGTTTTTATTTGGAGCTACCTTACAAGTGCAACTTTATAAATATTCGAAACCTTCTTGTCTGCATGTTTCGGAATAATAATATTGTTATTATTTCATAACACATCATCATAAAAATATATTTTATATGGAATTTGACATTTCTAACTTGAATTCAAAATAGAAATCCAAAACAACATAGTATGGAGCTTTCCTAATTTACTTATTATAACAAACTGAGTCCTCAAACATTAATTATTTACTCCCTGAACCTTATTTTTATGACATTTAAAACCAGCCATTTGAATTGCCCTTGAAGTTACATTGTAAATTATGCAATCATCCCCTTGTACTATATATTGCCTAAATTCTCTGGGGTGTGAAAATCTTTGTTGATGGTAATTGAATTGAACYTCATATTAAAAATACCATTATTTTGATTTTCTTTTGAATAGTGAGCATTCCAGAAACCTCTATTTTATAGATGTTGTAATGCATTATTCAATGTTGAAGCTAATATTCATCTATGTACACTACAATGAATCATGTGTATAGTTCTGAATTTCAAAATTTATCTTAACAGCTAATAGTTATGGCAAATTTAATGGCCTCATAAATGCWATTTATGCTTTAAAAAGGATTAATAACTCTTCTTCTAAGGGTTGCTTGATTTAAATGTAAACTAGTGATCAATTCTCATGAGTTTTTATACTATAAGAAATAAAACAAAAGTAACAGTGCAATCCTAAATCTAGTTTTGGGAAAAATTATTTCATTCTCTTGTAAAATTCAAATCAATTCAATGTTTATTCACARTGATTTGATAATATATTTACATAAGCATTGGAAATATTTACATTGCTGTCGTATATAGAAAGTAGCTCTTCTAAAGATATTATAATTTTCTTACAATCAAAAACATTGGAAGGTCAACATGCATGTATGCTCTACTTTATTATTTTTTTTTTGCTTTAATTTTTTCCCTAGTTTTACACATGTGCTCACATAAGTGATGCCAGACACGTTATTCATCGTCTTATTGACTGCCATTTGATATTGTACTTGTTTATAATAATGTGTAAAGCTCATTTTTATGTTGCTTTTGTGGAATAGAGCATCTTCACTATGTCTCAAAATACATTATTTTCATAAAAAAATATCTTCCTGGAATTTTGTAGTGAAAATGTAGCACGAACCCTGCCTGAATATATTGTGCATTGACTGAAACTATTGCAGTCATTTTCTTCCTCAAATGAAAACCAACCTGATTAATATGTTCCCTAGGTATTGTTCTTGTTGCTATAAATCCATATACRGAACTTCCCCTRTATGGACCTGATATCATTGCTGCYTACAGAGGGCAGTCTATGGGAGACATGGACCCTCACGTTTTRGCTGTCGCTGAAGATGCATATCGCTGCATGTCGAGGTAAGATKTTYATTATTAWAGCATATATTATGTATGTTGTTGTWTATCYATAGTTTTGTTAATTATTTCTTTAGAGAAGAGAAAAATCAATCTATAATAGTAAGTGGAGAGAGTGGAGCTGGGAAAACAGTCAGTGCCAAGTACACAATGCGTTACTTTGCKGCAGTTGGTGGCGCCTCTGCTGAGACTCAAATTGAGAAGAAAGTGCTTGCATCTAATCCAATTATGGAGGTTTGAATCAAATCTTTTGGGTTGACCAAAATTATAAGTTTATCTAAACGTTTCTACTAATACTTTCATTTAGGCTATTGGAAATGCCAAGACAATCAGAAACGATAACAGTAGTCGGTTTGGAAAGTACCTGGAAATCTCATTTGACAGACACCATCATATTATTGGTGCCCACATGAGGACATACTTACTGGAAAAATCACGTGTGGTATTCCAGGCACCAGAGGAAAGAAACTATCATATTTTTTACCAGCTCTGCGCWTCATGTGACCTTCCAGAGATGAGAGACTTAAGACTTGGTATTRAATAAATTWTATTYTATAAAGGGAAATATCCGATCRTTATTAAACTTTCTTCTTTCCTTYAAAACGAAACAATATGAAATTTCAGAGCCAACAAGCTTCAATTGAACAGCATTTCCTGTTTTTAGCATTCTTCAATGTTTCCATTCTTTAATAAATGTTTGTCTTGTCAGTCAATCATGGAAGAGTATTGATTCTCTGTTGTTTGTATTGTTCAATAAGGTCATCCTGATGACTTCAGTTATCTAAACCAAGGAGATAACCCCGTAATCCCCAATGTTGATGATGCTGACTGTCTAGATGAAACTAGAGAAGCCATGGACATGGTTGGCATCCATCAAGATGACCAGCTTATGCTCTTTAGAATTCTAGCTGCAATCCTGCATTTAGGAAATATTGAAATCTTTGAGTTTGGAGAAGATGACGAATGCGCAATTGAGGTAAATGTTGGTGTGGCATGATCGTCTAGGTGTTAGAAGTTTTGAGGAAGACTGTTATAGTTACCTGACATTTTGACATACTGTGTTTGGAAGTCACCTTCTAAACTAAACAGACAGAGTTGATATAAATGTGTAAGGGTTTGTTTCCAGTCGGAAGCTCATGGTTGTTAAGACATTCTAAAGACGTTTTTGAGCTTAACATTGAATATTTTTTGTAAAGAAATTAAAAACATGATATATGTAAATGACTTTGTTGTTGTCTAATTATGTCTTTATGTCTGTAGATGAAAAATATTTTCTCTGCTGCTATGATGGCTTTCAAACAGCCTTTCTTGCATTTTTATCCAATCAGGAGTTGTTTAATATAAACTTGACTTTTGATTTTTTAGGCTGAAGATTTCCATCTTGCYATGACTGCAGAGCTACTGGGAATTGACAGAAACCAACTAAGAAAATGGTTATGTAATAGAAAAATTGTCACTGTTGGRGAGGTCCTCATCAAGCCATTGACTGTCTCAGAGGTGAGACTTTGTTTAGTGATTCTGCCAAAATCATCATCATCATCATTTGATTATTAAAAATCATAATCTAATGCTGTAATCTTTGCATTATATATTGATTTAATTCTGTATTATAATATACATTAATATTATAATCATATCATTTCCCAGGCAAATTATGGACGAGAGGCCATTAGCAAACATATCTATTCACAGCTCTTCAAYTGGGTTGTCATGACAATCAACAAGACCCTAGCAAGTTCTTCTAAAGCACATTCATTTATTGGTGTTTTGGATATTTATGGGTAAATACAATGATACTTTAACGTGTGATAAACTAAGTAATATTAATTAGAKAGTTATAGAGGTACAATTCTTGTCTTGTTTGAAGTATGCATGCTTTACTATGTCTCCATATTCTATAATGAAAGTTATATTAAAAAACATGGATTGTTTTCAGGTTTGAAACATTTGAGACCAARAGTTTTGAACAGTTTTGCATTAACTATGCAAACGAGAAGCTACAACAACAATTTACTCAGGTACTGTTTAAATGTRGACTTATGAAGTATAAAAAWTATCAAAAAGAGAGTCSCTYTAAAACTTCAAAACATGAAGTCGACCAACACAGTCACTGATTTAAATTATACTGTCTTTCTATTTTCTTAGCATGTGTTTAAACTGGAGCAAGAGGAGTATGTRAAGGAAGAGATTGATTGGTCTTTTATCAATTTTTATGACAATCAGCCATGTATTGACTTAATTGAAGCCAAYCTTGGGATTTTGGACCTTCTTGATGAAGAATGCAAGGTAAATAATATGCACAATAAAACAATGCTATTATGGACATTATCGGGCCCTCGTCTGCTTTTCCTAATGTTTAGGAATATTATTACTGTTTTAGGAGTATTAACAGTAAAATGCATKCTTTCCACCATTTATGTAGTCATCATCAGCATCAACTGTCATTTCAACCACCACCATCACCATTATCATTATCAAAATCAGTTACCATGTTGCATACATATTCATCTTGTGATTAGATCAACACTCTCTTAATAATTAAGAACACAAATTGAATACTGTCACTGAAGAGGCTCAAACTGAGCAAAATATATTTGACTGACTTACTACTACTTAAAAGAGTGTCGAAGATCGCAGTGATCACTAGATCTGATCTCACCATGGTAATYAAATTGATTTTATTTTGATTTTCAGATGCCTGCTGGATCAGATGAAAAGTGGGCTCAAAAGTTGTACAAACAACACTTAAAGAAACAAAACAAACACTTTTCCAAGCCAAGGATGTCAAACGTGGCATTTATAGTTCATCACTTTGCCGACATGGTTCAGTACGATACAAATGGCTTTGTTGAGAAAAATAGAGATAACGTCAATGAAGAACATTTGCTGCTGCTGAAGGCTAGCGAGGTATGATTTGGTKATTATTTCATTCATTTCTTTGTTMCCATTCACTCTCATTCATTTACTTTATTCATTTAACTCRTCGTCGATTCATTTTTTGGTTCACCTGTTGATTGTTTGGTTTATCCATCCATTTGACCGTCACCATGTCCRATAGTRCAACCTTRCGTCTCTCTGRCCATCAGTTCAATCCTCCACCCATGCATCCATTCATTTCACAATCATTCCAGCAAAGAGCGCACGACAGAATGATTTTTTGTCTTTTATTGAGCYTGTTYAAGCCAAGCTAACGTTTATTTTGCAGTCAATTGAAACCACGGCTCCCCAACACCCGGGAATATCGYCAGAATTAACATTTCAATAATGCATTTCCCTGCCCTTAGAGGCCAACAAAAARGCTGCTAAACAGATCATTTCCATTGATTTTGACATTAATTCTCCATCCTTCCCGTTAATTGTACTGTTAAAACAGCGTGGAATTCTCCGCTGTGGGTTAATTCCGCATTGCCAGCCGCCATTTTGAATGTTTGAATATTTCATTTTTTAATCCAGGCTCAGTTCAATCCCCTTTTTCCCATTCATTCTTGTTTTCGTTTTATCCATTTATTATATCTTCATTAGCTCGCTAGCTTTGCATCGCATAAGAATATTCTAAGCTGATATTATATAAGAAACTAGCTAATGGTCGTGTGGCTTTTTRTCGTTYTGCAGTATGACTTGGTAGCAGAGGTTATCCAATGTATCGGAGTAAGTAAACACTAAACCAAATCTAAACAAATAAAAAATAACAGATCGTTTATCTAATGATTTTAATCCACGAGTTATCTTGATGAAATCATGTCCGTTGTATTGTAATTAATGAATTAATAGTGATAATTTTTACTTGTGCAACTTGAACAACTAAACAGTGTTAGATAGAAAACCAATAATGCCATTAAACTGGCTCAAAAATAAATTGAAAATAATTGAAAAGTGCTGATCATCTTGAATCTCTTTTTACAATAATTTACCTCAATTCCTAACCTAATATTTTATCAATTCAAACTAGCCAAGTTTCTTATAAATGCTTTAAATTCCGTTTAAAAATGGATAATAGTATGTTTGATTGTGTTATCCTTGCAGACAAACGGATAAATCATTTTTGAGACTAATTTCATTTCGAAAATAACTATTTAACTCCTCATTCTAAAATTCACTTAATAATAACTATTTTATGGAACAATTAACATGTTTCTCATCATTGTAGTCAAAGTACTAAGTAAAATGAGATTAAAGGATAAAGCTAAGAGCTTGTTTGGTGATTATATCATCAGATCGAAATGGTTGGAGATTTGTTCATTGACAACGAAGCTCAACACACGCAAAGAAAACGAGCTCATTCTCGCGCAGGAAAGAACGTGTCAAAGGCGAAGYCGAAGAGYAGTGTGGGCCAAGAGGTAAGGAAGCTTTTTTCACYTACAGTGATAGTAATGGTATTCAAAARGAATCAATCATTTCATTTTTAACCAACAGTTTAGCGAATCTCTTGGGAAACTTATGGAAACACTCAARAGRACTACGCCACATTACATTAGGTGCATTAAACCTAATGACCAGAAGGCTCCGTTCCAATTCAGTCCCAAGAGAAGCATCCAGCAATTACGAGCCTGCGGTGTTTTAGAAACTATTCGTATCAGTGCAGCGGGTTATCCGTCCKGATGGACCTACCCTGAATTRTTTGCAAGGTACAAGATGTTGTTGGATTTTAAGAAAATTAATCGCAAYAAYCCACGYGAGACAATTCGAATGATATTAGAAATCTTTATTAAGGTAAGTGATGATGTTGCCATTAATCTTGCKAAGTTATGGATTATTAAGAGTTATTATTACAAAGTAATAATATCTGTGGTTGTAGCATAGAGGTGTCTGTAATATAGGGATGTCGTGGATATAGAAGTTACTGTTTAGAAGTGTCTGTAGCATAAAGTTGTTGGTTTTTTGGACACTTATGTGATAGGCAGTGCTGTTATTTATAGAACTGCGTTAAGAGGCAGTGTTGTGGCATCTTTGTCTTAGTGTTTTTGCTTGATTTTAAATGATTCCCATTTGTTTACAGGATCCAGACAAATTCCAGCTTGGAAAGACCAAAATTTTCTTCAGAGCAGGACAGGTAAACCAGTTTTCACAATAAAGAATTCCAACTTACAACAATAACACGGGAATGAGATAAACGGTAATCCTTTCATCTTAGGTCGCATACTTAGAGAAGCTTCGSTCAGATAAGCTGTACAAGAGCTGTGTGATGATTCAAAAGAACGTGCGCCGATGGCGAATGGAACGGTTGTACGTAKGAATGAAGAAAGCGGCTGTGCTTATACAGTCTTGGGTTCGAGGCGATCAGGCGAGGAGGTACGGTAGTTATTATTTAGATATCARWTCATCAAAGTAATCTGCTCTTATTCCTACCGTTGATTGGTTTGTTGATAAATGAAMCGATAAATTGATTGTCAATCATTGCTTGATTGATTGATAGGCCTGTTGGTTGGAGATTGATTGGGTAATTGATTGATTGATTGAACTTATTAACTAAATTGTTTGTTTGTATTTCATCCTAGACGAGCCCGTGCTCGGTAAATTGATTGTCAATCATTGCTTGATTGATAGGACTGTTGGTTGACGATTGATTGATTGATTGGTTGTCAATCATTGCTTGATTGATAGGACTGTTGGTTGGCGATTGATTGATTGATTGATTGTCAATCGAACTTATTAACTAAATTGTTTGTTTGTATTTCATCCTAGACGAGCCCGTGCTCTTCGGCGCAATAAATCAGCGATTACGATCCAACGCTATTGGCGCGGTTACCGTTGTCGCAATGCCTATGTCTACTTGCGTTTGTGTGTCGTCACCATCCAGTCTTTTACGAGAGGCATGTTCGCGAGACGACTGAGGCAACATCTTTTATACAATGCTAAAGCGGGTATTATCCAGCGTTGRTGGCGAGGATACAAGGGAAGACAGCAATACAGGAATTATTTCAAMAAAATCATTTACTTGCAGTCCTGCGTACGAAGGATGTACGCCAAACGAGAGCTTAAAAAACTCAAGGTATGTTCTGAAGCACTTCGGGCTTGCTGTGGTGGTTAAGAGGAGAGAGGACTGGACGTCAGACTGTGATGACTAATTATGATAATAAGAAGAGAGATATCTCTTCAATGATTTCATAAACAGTCCCACTGAGTTAGCCTGATTAAAGTCCTATTGTTTGTAGAATTATTTGGCTCGTTGGCCGAGTGTGGTCATTGGTTCTAGTTTATTCATTCTTTTCTTCTTTTTCAATATTGCTAACTTTCTTGTTCTGACATTTTCCTATTTTCAGAGTTGCTCAATCTGTCTTTCATTTTCCCTGAGTTGCTTACTTTTTTTTTGTTTCTTTCTCTCCCCAATCCTTCGTGGGCTGCCTRCATGCTTTCGTTACTTTCTGCCTTCTCCCTAAGTTTCTTCCTTCTTTCATTTATCATTTCTTTTCTTCTCGTTTTTTCGTTTGGCTTTCGTTTTAGCCAACCGTTTCTTCCTTTTTCTCTCCTCTCCTTATTTTCTCACTTCATCTTTCTACTCTCTTTCTTCCTTCATTTTCCCATTTCTTCTTTCTTTCAATTATATTTCCTACTCGCTTTAACTCTTCGTTTTACTTTCAAACATTTTGAAGCTATATTATTCTAAAACGAGTGGTTTTAAACTTGCTTTCCCAGATCGAGGCACGATCGGTGGAACATTATAAGACTCTTACAAGAGGAATGGAAAACAAAGTTATATCGCTTCAGCAACGACTTGATCAGGAGGTAAGCATTTATTGTGGTATTGTTTTACAGCTTGTGTATTTTTCTCGGGATGATAAGCTTTATCGTCTCACAGTTATTAAACATTTTATTCATAAATTTCTTTCAAAAATTATCATTTCTGTAAAGYTTTTCAGCTGMTTTTTGTGTTTAGTGGAMAGCTTAAAAAATATACATAGCATTTGTTAGAATCCTGATGTAGATTTATTGGAACTGTACTTCGAGTGATTTTTATTTATTTATTTATTTATTTACTTCATTTCATTTCCTTTGAGTGCATATTTTGTCATTTTAATCCCATTAATCTAACCACTTCGCCTTATATTATCTATATCTTTATTATATGTTGTAAGCTGTCGAAACTATCTTTCGTATGCACTGTCGAACCTCTAGGCGGTCATCAGAGGTTATGTACTTCTGGCGGTCATCCCTGTGCAAATCGTAGTGGCATGCAGTTAATTTATGATTGACCCGTATTTTTCCTGAATTATGTCGATTGCCAGCTAATTCACTATTCTTAAAGTTTCAGTACAGGAGGAAATAGCCTCGTTCTTTGGATAAAAAAACTAGAATAAACAATCAATTTACACGTAGATTCGAGGATATTCTCTCCTGTAACTGGAATTTTAAGAATAATCGAAAAACGCGAATAGGAACTTTGAGTCTATTGATTGGSTCATATGCTAATGAGCGTGACGTCTGTGTTTTCGTTTTGGCGTGACGATAWGCTTAATAGACGCGGCTTTATAGTGCAGGTGTTTTAAGACCAGTTTCGCAATAKGTTTTGTAGGAGTACAAGCTTCTAATCCTTTCGTCTTTAAATAAGACATACTTTTTAGACTTTGTGTCCATAAATTGGTATATGTGCTAATAATTGTGACGTCAGGGATGCGATAGCTTACGTAGCYGAATAGGGTTTTTTCTTTTAGCGTGACGGTATGTTTGTACAAAGAGCTTTGTATAGGAGAGGGTTCGTCTGCCGATTCCGCTTATTTTTGAGTTGAGATTCGCCGAATATAATATTTAACTTTTAAGATGTTTTTCAATTAATTGTCTGTTCTACTTATAGAAATGMTTAAGGTGTTATTAGTTGGACAAGGCACTTCACAATCTGCCGTTTCTTTATTAGGTCCRTTGCAAGCCTTTCCCCCATGCTGAGGTTTAGGATTTGTGCACGTCCTTGTTCGTTCTTTCTTCCCTTTTCCACAYACATCCTTTCCGTTCATTTTYCATTCAGAGTACTTTGACCAATTTGTAAATCCTCCATCAACAGGGCAAGGTTGACTATTACACATACTTGTCTCTTTAGCYGGTCCTAAACGATCGCAGCCTAAGCCGTCGTGTTTTGGCTGTGGATTGTTGCAAGTTCTTACTCGAGCTTTTCTTCCTCCTCCACAATTTTTATCACAATTTCCAAACTTACCCCATTCTGAATACCCTCCATTCACAGGACAAGGGGTTTCGTTGCATGTTTTGTTCCGTTTGTGAGKTCCTTTGCAATCATTCCCAAGAATACCCGGAGATGGATTTGTACAGGAACGGCTTCTCTCTTGAATTCCTCCTCCGCAAGTTACAGAACAGTTGCTCCATTCAGACCATTCTGTAAARTTACCGGGTGTAGAAAAAATMGAMGCYAGGTAGAAATTCAGAASTAAACCAGCGGCTACGAGAACMTTTCTGAAAGTCAGCACACCACGACAGGYTGCCACCATKTTGAATCTGAAATATTGAGATCTTCACCAAGSTTTTTTGACCCTCACCATCACAAATTGGCGACTAGACAATGTTTCTTTGAACTCTTTGYAAGTTRTATTTTGTTTTGGACATAACTGGCTCAGTAGTTTTTCAAAGTCGATGGAATTAGTRAAGCGAAGTTTTAGCACGCCAAGCTGAACAAGAKTGTTGATTGGTTATCGCTAAAGAAGCGCAACATCCCAAGTTTCGCATGAAAACTTTTTATAAACAGCGAAAGACAAAAGGWTGTCCTATAATTTTAGGAATTATAAGGGTTCRAACTAACCTCCCTTTTTATGTTCGCTCTCATGAATGAAATCATCAAACTTTACCMAACTTTTATCGTGATCTCCCCTCAAAAAKCTKGTCCAAAGTTTTGTTTGCGTGACATTTGTATGTATGAATATTAATTAAGATGTATACGTATTGAATTGCTAATTATTATGATATCGAACTCAATTATAAATGGCGTAACTATAAATTACAATTTTAAGCGTCTTYTTCGCGTAGAAATACAAGTTATTTTGTAACGTTTGTCCTCACTTAGTCTCTTCCAATACAGTCATTTGCAAAAATTCTCGTTACGTCGACATATCACGGGGAACTTTACGTGATTTTCGCTCTTTTCTCGTTGAATAAGATTGCGAATCATTTATTCACAATTCTGTATGAATGCTGTATTTGTTTAGCGTTTCTTTTTTTTTATTTTAATGAAAGAAAACGAAAACGACTTAATCTATTGTTTGATTGATTGATTTAATAATTGAATGAATGAATGATTGATCGATTAAATGATTGTTTGATGGACTGATGGATTGATTGATAGGTTGATTGATCGATTGACTGATTGATTGATTAATTTTTATCGTGTAATTCAGGTTAAAAAGAAGAATGAAGCCATACATTCTGTACAAGAACTACAGAATGTTCGCAAAGACCTGGAAGATGCCAAACAATGGAAAGTGCGCTGCGAGCAAGCTAACAGCAGGCTGGCAGAGATGGAACATGTCATTATTGAACTAAAGGAGGAAATTACCAAATTGAAACAAGAAAACGACGAAGTAAAGATTAAAGCGGATGCAGACTGTAGTGAAAAGGATAATGTAGGTCAATATGTATTTGTTGAARGCATGTTTGTAATTATTCGTCCTTTGTGCGTCTGTTTATGGATTATATATGGATCAGTCGAAACCCTGCCCCCCCCCCCCCCCCAACCTCCAGGTATCGGTATGGTATACTACTTGGTAATTTATAGTTATCGCGTTGTTTCTAGGAAATCATTTCTCTTCGGGAGCAACTCGGTAACTTGAATAATGAACTTGCTGATGCTAATGCTAATATGGAGCAAGAAGTCAAGTCACGTGATGGTAAGAAAGGCATGGGATTCCTGTCGTGTGATTTTCGATTCGAGTTAGGACTGAAAACGTGGTTGATTCGAGCTCTTTACGTCTTGTTCATGGGAGAGCGCTCGGAAAACTAAAATTTGAAGAATRCATGATGTAAATCTAGAAGCAAGTACAATTGGGATCAAATTTATGTGTGTTTTTTAGCGTGACCTAGTAATATTTATTGAATTAAATACAAATCACTGTATATCCTTACCGACAGCAATCTTAGAAGAGCGCCTTGAAGACCAAAAATCGCAGATTTTGGCGGAATTTGAAGCCGAGAGGCTCAACCATCAGCGAGTGCTTAGAGACTATGCTCGTCTGGAACAAAGATATCAGAACATCGTAGAGGAACTGGAGATTGTTCAGACAAGCCCGAAGAAGGAATTTCACGAGACTAGCGGACGTATCAGTGCTGCTAGTTCAGGTAGGTGAAGTCGCTCTTATAGTCGACAAGTTTGTGAAAGGAAAACAGAATAGAGATAAGACTTGTCACGAAATATATGCAAGCCGTTTAGTGAAGCGTCCAGATAAAATAATACTTGATATATATCGGTAGTTTTTGGAAGAGGGAGGTACGGTATATAAATGAAATATTTAATTTAAACTTTTTTGCAGAATCCTCTCTTGTTGAAGATCTCGAGAAGGAGATACAACAGCGGACTGGCGAAGAGGAATTGAGCTCTATTATTAACAAAAGTAAATTAGTGAACAGACTTCGTGAAAAAGTKATGTATCTCGAAGAACAAAACGTGGACTTAAAAAGCCGTGCRAAGCAATCCACTGAAATGAACCAATCAGAGAAGACTCTGACCAAGGTCCCTTCCATACATGTCGACAGCTCCGACACAGGAACCCCAAYCGAAACTCAAGTAGTRGACTCCGAACAATATAAGAAATTYCTYAACGAAAAGGACAACTTGATAGAACAGAAAGAAAAGTCCGACGCCGAAAAGAAAAAGATGAAAAACGAGCTGGACTTGTTGCGAAAACTTGTTAGTCAAAGGAATGTGGACAAAGAAGCYGAYTGGGAAATAATTGGTGAAAAAATGAAAGAAATTACCGCTGAAAGGGATTTGCTGGAAAGGGAAAAGGTAGAAGAGGAGATTTTATATAGATTCCAATAGTTGAGTTTTAACAGTAAAGGTTCTCAGTTCCACGCAAATCTTCAATAGTTCCTCGCAACGTCAACCCCGTACCTTTCCATTGAACTACTTAGAGTGAAATACCGATAACTTGATTTCACTCATTGATTTAGTATTCACCAGTATTTTCGACTTTTTGCATTGTAGACTCGACTAAGAGACGAGCTCGTCAAAATGGCATCAGTGTCGAGGTCGCTACGRGAAATCGAAGAACTGATCTCAACCAATCCAGATGAAGGCGCTTACATGTTACAGGTATTGTTACMCTTATTTCATCCACATAWCGGGCTCCCTGAGTGCAAAGGAAGCCCAACATTAACCGATCTGCATTCTCATTGAGTCAATTCTATAATTTGAAGGCCGATTCTTTAAAACGAGCCAACAACGTTCTACAAATTGAACTCGAGGAAAGCTACAAGAAAGAGAAGGAACTCAAAGAAGCTAACGAAAAGCTTTGGAGAGAGAAAGCGAAATTGCAAAGAGTAAGTATGGAGTTAGTCTCCTCTCGCAGCAGTTAGGACATTCGTTCCCCGTTGTATGGATTGCAAACAAATAATGTTTATTGTGATGGTAATATTTACAAGTTAGCTTACGATAAACAAACAAAAATGGCATAAAAAGCGTTTGATAGCAGTTCATGGTAATGAACTTAATCTCTGAGACAAAACAATGAATTCTGATCTTTTCTTTTTTCAAACTTATAAAACTGCTTTGGTGTTAAATATAAGAAGTCTGCAGCAACATAAAAAAACGTTGAATACGGAATACTGTAATGATGCATTCCCTAAGACAGAAAAGCATTGTTGGTTGTCATATGGCTGCTATTAATGAGGGAAAACCACTGATTCAAAGTGCCTATACCAGCTCTGCACAGCAAAATCCTTACTTTAGAATTCCCATGAAGTTACGCTAGCAACGTTGAGTTCAATACCAACAATGCATTGCGGTATTTAGTATCACAGTGTTCAACGTTTTTTAAGTTGCTGTATATCTGACGCGCTTGGTACGCAAATAATACTCACAATTGGTATTTACATTGTACTTTCCAGGGTCGAACCACCAGCATCCATGCTATGGATAGCAGCTTCCAYACAGAAGTAACTCGCCTTGTCACTGAGAATGTGGTACGGACGGACGTTTTGTTTTTTACTTTTCTTTTCAATCAGTCACGGTCCAGTTCTTCCTAGAATTTCTTTCCTATAAAGATATAACAGTATAGACAATGAACTGAGAGACACATCAAATTGTATATTCAATCAAAGAATGATGTATCCAATGAGAGTTTTATWCTTTTCCAGGAACTCCGTGAACAGGTTGAGCGACTGGAAAAAGAACTTGAAGATCTAAAGAAAGACAYTGGTGCWTTGCAACCTTTCAGGTCAAGAGCGCAATCTATGAAAGGTATAGAATTGATAAAAATTGATTTAAAACGTTACATTGACTTCTAGTAACAAGGCCCTTGCAAACTGGTGCTAGAACTGACCGTGTTTTTTACCGATTTGGATTGTTTTTTTTTTTTTTTCTGTTTTGACTTGTAAATGGATTCTTCCTACTCATTTACTTACTTTCATGTTTGTTAGATATGGAACAGAAACGTCGAGCCCATTCACTATGGAGTGGCCAGGAACCACGTGCTGGGAAACTAGTAAGTGRTTCTTTTTTCCATTSTTTRTTTGTCTCAGTCTTCTCTGTAGTACCACCTTTCGTTTCCCATCCTATTCTCGCTTATCCTACCTCATACTTTATTATGCTCCTCCATTTCATCCCATCCTGTTGCATCATTTTGTTCGACCATCCACAAGCGATTCTATCTTGTCCCATTTTCTCGTTTTCCATATTTCCTATTCCACGCCATCTTGTCCTATTCAATGTATACAACTTGATTAATTAGATGGRTTAATTTCTTCTATTCTGACATTTTCCTCGTAGGTTATGAGGCACGCTGGATTACTGCGTAAATCACCTTCAAAAGACGAGGTAAGTTGTCGATACAACAATACCCTGAATGAGACTACCATGGATCAGGGTTCGTACTACTCCTTGAAAACCTTGAAAAGCCCTTGAATCGAAAAACCGTTTTTAAGGGCACTTGAAAAGCCCTTGAAAATAACGAAATTGCTAAAAATCCTTGAAAACTCCTTGAATCTTTACATTCTGTTTGGTGATCTGTATTTTCGAACAATAAATCACTGATAAAAGAACTTAAAATCAATCCAAAAGCGCGTAAAAAAAAATCGTGGAATTTTTATATGACGATATAAAAAGTGGCCTGGGTTCCCTGTATAATTTATAACACATGACAACAGATGGGGTTCCTGTGTTATTTATCGTGCGCATGCGTCATTTTGCACGAGGTTCTTGGATCTTGTGTCGCTGTAAGTTTTACTTGGTTTTAAGCTTATATTTTTGTAAAAGAAGACCTTTTCATGGAACAAAAAGAAGGTAAACAGTTTTAGAATAAGCTTTGAATTTTGAAAATTCAAATTGAAATAAAAAGCAATAGGCTTCCTTCAAGCTTTCATAAAATAAATGTAGTGCTTCTGAACAGTTGGCTTGAAAGAAAATGTAAATTTTGAGGCGTTCTGAAAGATTCCCACGTGCAAACACAAATCCCAGACGTAACGTCTACACCCGTCTCATCTTGTTTAATCTCGTTTCTTTTAATAGCTCAAATTTTTTAGAAAGGCTATAATAAAAATTGGCATCTTTGCAGCTGGAAAAGTTAATAATCCCAGGCCTGACATTATTCTAAAGAAATGGAATTTGAAATTTATTAACGAGTTGCGAGTGCAATATTTATTTTGCATTCTTGACCTCTGATATTGTATTTCACAATGCTTTCTAACGTTGATAACAACGTTGATAACGTTTAGCATAACATTTACAACGTTGTGGAAATGCATTACAACGTTCAGAACGTTTGGATAACGTTATCTATAATTACATCAATCGTTGGGAGATCATTCTACAACGTTACAAAACCATTGCAATGCATTTAAATGCATTGAAAATGCGTTGAAATGCATTCAAACGATTTTTTCATTAAGCCGGGTTTTCCCATGGAGGGTCACAAATGTAGTCCTTGAAAATCATTTTTTTGTGCTTGAAAAGTGCTTAAAAAGTGCTTAATTTTTGGAATAAAATTCTAGCACGAACCCTGATGGATACATAAAATTATTCTATTCTGTCTCCAGTGAACCTGATTACATAAATCTATATATTTGAAKCTTTTGAACCTTAAAAGCATTGGGAATTAAGTATTGCGAAAATTATCATATAAGCAATATTTATTATGACCTAGATGAATCTAAAGTAAATGAAAGTTTCAACATGTTTTTATTAGCATTCACTGAAAAAATCGCGCATTTTGAACGTTGTAAATTTGATGTAAATATTATGGAATTGTCCAAAATCAAATTTACATCAGTGATTTTTTATCAAATTATTATTAACTGAKCATTATTATTAGAGTTTGCTGACRTAGTRCTATTTGTAGGATATGCTGCCGTTGCCYCTTCAAGTCAAATCGAACAAGGCTCGTGGAATGATAGAATTCTCTCCAGACGATGAAAACAAAATTATCCAAACCTTGATTCTAGACATGAATCCGTCCACAATGGCGGACGCCATTCCCGGGTTGCCTGCGCATATCTTATTTATGTGTATACGGCACGCTGACCACCTTAATGATGATCGCCTTATGCAGAGTTTACTTGGCAACAGTATCAATAGTATAAGAAAAGTTATAAAGGTGAGAAAATGCGATTTTCTTCATTAATTTGTTTTTTGGATATTTACACCTTATTGAATCAAAGTTGTCGGGTCAAAAAACGTGATATCTAATCGAAACTAACACCGAAGGGAATGCTAAGGACTCTGAAATTCGAAACATATTTGCCTAAAAATGTTAAATTATATAGCATTTATCGTAGATAAGGTCATTTTATTCAGCGAAGGCAATCGTTTGGCACTGAAACACTATCATATTTGATGATCGACTTCGTTTTTAAAAATTCTTTACTATTTGCTTATCAGTTTTTTTGTTATTGTGACTTTCTGTAAATATTTCTCCCATTTATTCATTCATTCATTCATTTTAATATTTATGATAATAATACTCCGCTTAATCCTCAGAAAAACCCGAGTAATCTGGAAATCCTGTCTTTCTGGCTGGCCAACACGCTAAGACTTCTTCACGACATGAAGCAATATAGTGGAGACAGGGTAAGATTACGCAAGCTATAAAGACGTTCATTGCGAACCGCGTGAATGCATAGATTTACGTTACGTTACCTCTGAAAGCTTCCTATGATCATCGTTCACTTCAAATTCTCATTTGAAACTATGGGAACGCACTTTACTAATTATACACTGATTGATTGTTATGGTTATTTGGAGTTAACGGYCGCCATATGACACATAAACTTTGATCTGTTAATCCGACACCTTTCTAAAGTTTGCTACGGCTTTCACTACAATAATCCTTTTCGAGATCATTCGTTTTGTACAACAATCCTTTGCGAAATGTATTTCTGTTTTGAATACAGAGATAGTGATGAAAGCTAGGTTTTCACATGTAGAATTGTTTAGTGATGTTTTCAGGTATCAAAAAAAAAAAACAAAACAAAACAAAACAAAAAACAAAACTCAGCTATTCCAAAAAATTTACTACCGCATAGGATTCTGGTAATGAAAATGCACACGTCATCGAGAGAAACGGGCATGCGTATTGCCCTCACTATAAATGAGAACGGTGGGCAGTGATAAAGTTGCTTCGAGGACCTCATGCGTAAAGCTTGAATCCGTTTCAAATCCATTACTACTAAATCGCACGTACTTTGTACATACCAGTCATAAATCATATCTCTAAACTCTTCGTCTGCAGTAACCCTGTCAAACCGAAGCTTTTCTTCTTTTTCCTTTTTTGATAAAAAGTCTCATTGAACCGCGTATAAACTAAAATAACTAACACACATTTCTTTACTTGCTGTTAAAGTAACTATCTTGCAATACCTTTGTAATTTGTTTAAAGATCTTCTGTTTCAGCTCTGTATCTGATTATRATTCTGTCATTCTCTTTTAACTCTTCTGCGTCGCTCATTTTCCTCTCAAAACGTCTTGTAGTGGGAACAACGGGAACCGGCTGGCGAGGGCATTTCAAACATGTTTCGTCGACAGTGGACTCAAGTTAAAGATTATCTGAAAGATGTTAGTGTACATGTTACGGAAGTTTTCATTTCCCAGAAACAAAAGATCCAGTTTTTTTTGTTTGTTTGTTTTAGTTTTATTGCTGTATTTACTCTTTGTTTTTCTAATGTTTCAGTGCACATTAAGTTGTATTTATTGTGTTTTTATCCCGTTTTTTCTTGTTTCTCCTTTTCTTTTTCCCATCCAATCTTCTATTATCATTCTCCTCTTTTAATCACCTCGTTTTACTAATAATATATAAAGGTAACTGGTTTTGTTATTGTAGTCCCTAATAAAAGCGGTCGTCAACCAATGAAAAATGAATGAAATTAAATACTATTTAAAAAATTACTAAAACAAGATTTGATTGATAAATGAAACACTACTTCCTAAATGTGTTAAAATCAGCATATGTTAACGTTAAAACGCTCGGAAAAATATACCCAAATCAACATCGTTTTTATTCACATCAAATACAGAGCGCTTTAATCGCAATCCTTTACTAATTGCGAAATTTTTCTTTCTATTATTAGGCTTTCCAATCACATAACACGCCTGAGCAAAACGAACACTGTTTAAAGAACTTTGATTTAACTGAGTACAGACAAGTTTTGAGTGATCTTTCTATTCACATCTATCAAGACTTGGTCAAAGCAATATSGGARGCAGTGCAAGGAATGATCGGTAATTTGATATTTTTAATAACAAAAGGCCGTGCTTTGCAAACGATTTTAGGAAAAAGTACTACCCAGTACTACCCAGCATGCATTGTTGGCCGACCTAACATTGTTGGGTCATGAATTCACGRATCAAAGAAAAGTTGGAAGGTAGTCTTCAGAATTTTCGACATAGTCCAAAGGTCATCCATTGTATTTAATGATCGAGCCCCCAGTATCATCTCGAAAAAATATTTAAGAAGACCAAACAACAAGCTCGATCGCGCAACAATGTGGGATTGTGCGGGTCTTACACATCGATTCCCTGAGTCTGCGCAGAAACAGAGAAGGATTAACATTATAAGATAATTTCAAAGAAACTTAAAGACAATTTTTGGCATACATGGAGTCCTTATTCAAACTTTTATTACTTTTGCTGTTACTATAATCGCTATGATGTTGTTTTGTTCTAATAGTTCCTGGAATCCTCGAGTATGACTCAATTCCTGGTATATCACATTCCAAACCATATGGTGGTGGACGATSGCGTCATCATCCAGAACTCACCGTAAAAAGTATTAATAAAAAGGTATTATCTTTCGGTCACTCTCCCGTGTATCGTCTCTCATTTGCTTTAGTTGGCTTCTTGGTATTTTATCTTTTGCTTCCTCCCGAACGTTCTGTTTTGTCTAACTATCCTTTTCATGCTGGTAATGATAATAACGGCTAATAATATTAACGGGTCTGTAGCTGGTGCGGTCTAATTCAATTCAGGGTTAAGACGTCGTCGTTGCCTGTTTCCTTCTTATTAGCTTCATTCGTTGTTTTCTTCCTTCTCTTTCAATTTTTTTCTTTCTCTATTTCTCTTTTCAAGTTTTGTTTGTTTTCCCAAACCATGTCTGTTCCACTTGCATTTGGCCTGGTCCTATCTCTATAGTTTCCTTCGCGTCTTGGTTGTCTTCTTTCCACTTTCAATATATCCTTTATATTTTCCATTTCTTTATTTGGGCATTTTGTTTTCGTTTATGAGCTGTAACAACTCTAGTTTTCGTCTTTTTCTTCAAGTCTCATTCWCCCTTTCACTTTTCTTTAAGTTTAGATTTGATTTGATTTTTATTTTTTGCAGCTGACGCAAGTATTAGATATTCTTAATGCTCACTGTGTAGATCCAGAGATTATAAAACAAGTCTTRAGACAGGTATGTTACCAGGACTTCTCTCCAATTGTTGGCATAGGTAGCCCATCAAAATCAATACTATTCATGGTTGATTCAACAAACTACTTATAAATTTGTTAGTTTATTGGTATATTTTGTACTCACTGAATCTATTGCATTATTTTAGGTATTTTACTATATTGATGCAAACTTAATGAATAATCTTCTGTTGCGAAAAGACATGTGTCACTGGTCRCGAGGAATGCAAATAAGGTAAAAATGAAACTTTTCCTCATATAAATATTTGATTTCAAAGTTATAATTTGTACTCATTCTCTTTCCGGTCAGATTCAACGTGAGTCAGCTAGAGGACTGGGTACGCCTCAATCAGCTCGACGGCAGTGGGATAGTTGAAGCGCTTGATTCTATTACACAGGCAGCCCAACTCCTTCAGGTTAGCAAGAAAACGCTGGAAGACGTCGATGCAATATGCGAAGTCTGTGATTCGCTRAATAGTATCCAAGTACAAAAGATCCTCTCTATGTACACACCAGCCAACGAGTACGAAGCGCGCGTTCCTTCGWKTGTCATCAAAGCTGTTCTTGAAAGGGGACACAACAAAACCGAACCTATGTACTTAATGATGGACACTTCGTATATGTTTCCCGTCACGTTGCCTTTTACCCCATCAGCAGTTTCTCTAGAAACTATCCACATACCAGATAACTGTGGGCTRGAGTTCTTACAGGTTCGCTAGATAGGAATATAAGTCTTTCAAGCATCCTTCACAGAKTGCAACAGCAATYGGGATTCCTGTGGTGATGTACGAACGAGGAAAACMGGGACAAGATATCTCTTTTGTTGTTTTCCCTCCGTCGCATATTATAATAGAATATTAATATTAGTGTTGACGGGGCCTAAAACGTCGTTCAGGAAACTGCTAATCAATCAATTAATTGAATTAATTAATTAAGGTAGCCTCGTCTTGAAATAACGAGGG